GTTTAGTTTTTTTGATTTTTAGAAATTTCAGTTAAGGGATTCCAGGGAAAGTCTTACGGATTTTTATTCATTGAAGGAAGGAGACACTAATGGGTAAAACTACTCCAGGCAGGGATGCAGGGAATGACACAAAGCCCCTGACATGAAAGCATACCAAGGATGTCTAAAGAAGATTTATAAAGATAGCATGCCTGGAGCCTAGTGAACAAGCAGGACAGGTTTGTAGGCAGCAGGAGGAGGGATTTGCATAGGGCTTTGTAGAAGACTTCTGCTCTTACTGTTCATAAAGGGAAAAGCCATCAGCGATTTCAAGCAGAGATGTGACATGATAAAACTTATAATAGAATTTTCAGGCTGCTGTGTCAAAAGGGGAAAAGGATTTGAAGTGATTAATTTACATGTCAACTTGACTGGGTTAAGAAATGCCCAGATAGCTGATAAAACCTTTTCTAGGCCATTTCTAAGTGTTTCTGCAAGAGATTAGCATTTGAATCAAAGAAAAAAAGACCAGACCTCACCAATGTGGGTGGGCTGACACTGAGGGCCTCAGAAGAATAAAAAGGCAGAATTCTCTTTGGGAGTTTGAACAATCCAACTTTTCCTGACTTCAGATATTGAATTTCCTGTTCTCAGAGCTTGAGGACTCTAGCACTTAACCAAAGGCTTTTGGTTTTTGGCCTTGGACCAAGAGGTCCATTTTGGCTTCCCTTGTTCTCAGGCCTTCACACTCAGGTTGAATTATACCACTAGATTTCCTGGTGATGGCATTTTGTAGGGTTTCTCAGCCTCTATAATCACATAAGCCAATTCTGTAATAAAAACCCCTCTCAATATCTCTATATATCCTATTGATTCAGTTCCTTTGGAGAACTCTAAGACAGAGTGGAAACAGGGAGAAAATTTACAACAGTTAAGAGGCTGTAGTATATTGAACTATTGGCTCCAGTTCCTCACTGCTTTTGACTGTGTGTGTGTGTGTGTGTGTGTGTGTGTGTGTGAGAGAGAGAGAGAGAGAGAGAGAGAGAGAGAGAGAGAGAGGAAGGCTTGAAAGAAATTGTGGGTGTAGCTTTGGACACAGAGTTGACTGCAGTCAAATACATGGGAACACTACAAATTTTAAAGAGAACCTCATTATCAAACATATGCCACCAATGAAGAGAGAATGAAGCAGTACAATAAACAGACACTTGGGTTCTCAATTATTTACACACAGGAAGCAGGTTGAGATACTACTTATACCCAAACAGGTACAATCTCTAAAGTCCTTTGCAAATAAACTAAGGAAGGTAAACTTTTAGGGGCTTGGGAGTAAGGGTATATTTTGCTTGTGGGAAGGATTAGACTTATTATAAGTGAAAAAGCAGAGTACTATGGATTGAATTATTGGTCCCTATTCTTCACTACCCTGGTATTATTAATGCATGAGGCCTTTCTTATGACTGTACAATGAACAATGGATTTCTTCATTCTCTTGACTTGGGTTTGATAGATGACTTTCTTTGGTCAATGGGATGTCAAAGTAAATAAGAGTAAATTTTGAAATATTTTTGCATGTTGGGTTTTCCTGGTTTTGCTTCTGTGACCACCATGAGAAGAGCTTTTTCTAAGTCACATTTTTTCAGCATAGGCTTCAAATAAGACAAATGGAGCTGAAGCACTACCGATGACCCATGGGCCCACAGTCTGAAGCAGACCTTCTTTCCAGTCAACCCAGAAAGCTTCAGTTTAGAGCAGAGATGAACCTAACTATGAGATTGGAGTCGAGCCTAGCTCAGCTTAATTGCTGCTAACACAAAGCCTCATTTTATTTATTTATTTATTTATTTTTGGTACTAGGAATCGAACTCGGGTGCTTGCACTTGTGAGGCAGGTAGCAGAACCACTGAGCTAAGTCCCCAGCCCCCAAAATAACTATTTTAGATTACTGACTTTAGGGTAGGTTGTAGAGGAACGGTGAACGATATTTTTGGCAGTAATTCAAAGAGTGATGATGTAAAGTAGGCCTACAGTGGAAGTGGTGAGAGCTTTTCATCTGGGTATATTTTATAGGCCAAAACCACAGGTCTTGCTGATTATACAATGGACTCTCAAGTTACAACCAGCCTGACATATGAACAACCTGGGTTAATTAGGTTAATGGAAATTCATCTGCTTCTTGCTAGAGATAGTATATACCTAGGTAAGCATCCAGATCTCAGCTGTACTAACTTAGTTAAAACCAGCCCTCTGGAACCAATCCAGTTTGTAAGTCAAGGGTCCACTGTATAAAGGTTGGAAGAGAAAATGAGGAGTTAAGGATGAATCTGAGGAAAATGGAGGAATCCCTAAAAAATAGAAGAATGGAGTGGTCATTTTCTGAAATGAGAAACACTGAGGAAATTGTAGATTTGAGGCTCAATGTCAAGAGCTGTTTGGAACATGAGTAACCTTCAAATAGGGATGGTATGTAGGAATTTGGTTATATAAGTCTGGAGATGAAAGGGAAAAAAGGTCTGGGGGTTATCAGTATAGAAATAGCTTATAAAGTCACAAGACTGGATGAAAATAACAGGTGAGTACAGAAAAGAGGCTCAAGGACAGTGTCTAGTAGTTGGGGAATTGAAGAGTAACAGATAAAGGAGACTAAGAAAGAGCAACAGAAGATGAGAAGAAAGCCAGATAGGTGTTAATAAGGTGTCATTAATATGTGCTGTTATAATATCACACCCATTGTGTCCTATTTGCTTTTCTTTTCTTAAATCAGCACCAGCACTAGGTATGTATGTGTGTGAACTGACTACATGGAAAGCACAGTGTTAATCACTTTATGTGTATAAAAGGATTATGGAAAAGCTAATTGGTATCTTTTAAAATTTAAATCAAAAAACATTTTATGGTTAGGTTCAATGTTATGGGGAAATTTGATTTGGTTCTCATCCAGTTAAGTTTGTGACCAGAATAGTGGAGAGAATTGAATTTGTGAACTGAGATGCCACTACATGTTTTCAGCACATAATGATTATATTTGTTGTGGGGAGTTGGTACATGTACATACCTACTTTTTTTGTAATACACTCACTAAAGAAACTTTTTCTCTTCTGATCTCCTCTCCAGAATAAGGAAGCTAAGTCTCTGCACTAATTCTGGGCAACTTTTATAGTCCTCTGAGACAGATGGCTTTCTTCAAGCGGGAAAAGGGGTGGAGGTTTGTGCTTTGAGTGGAATAGGGAAGTGAGAATCTGGAATCCTGGGAGATAATTGATTTTTTTTTCTCTTCTCTAAACCTGGAGGAAAAGGTTAAATATTGGATGGGTTAAACAGTGAATATTAGCATTTGGGGTACAGTTAGCATGCAGCTCACCAGTGGCAGTAAGACCTTGGAAGAAGGAAGGCTGCCTGGAGATGCACAGAGATTAAAGAGTGACTGCCACAAGTGGGACAGCACTGGGTAAGGATGTGTTTGAGTAGAGAGGATCATCTATCTGGGTGATCTCCATGTAGAGCCTGATAAAGGCTCAGTGACAGGGAAGGACAATGAGGCACCTGAAACAAAACTGCTTTGGAGAAAGCGTGAGTCTGAGCCCCAGGCTAAGATACAGGGGTTGGAGGATGGCCCTAGTTACGGTGTAATACTTGACTGATTTGGGAAACTCCTCAGGCTTATTAGTAAACTTAGGGGAACAATGGCTAGGTGGTGACTGTGCACTGAGAGAGATGTAATCCTAGAACTAAAGAAAGGGACACCTATGTGGTACAGGTAGGAAAAAGAATGAGCAAGAACATGGCCTTAGACTTCTGGATTATGCTATGTCATTATAGCAGAATATAGCAGCATTAATTAAATGTTAAAACTCCATTTTCTTTTGTTTGCATTCTTGGTTCTTATCTTTAGGTTCTGGGACAATCAAGAATGGTAAGGCCTCAAAAAGGAGCAACTTAATTTTCTAAAAGTAAGACCCTTGGGGCTTGAATGGTTCACTGAAAAATTAACAGAGATAGAAGGCCTCTGAGTTTATACATTTAAAAGACTTGGGAACTATCATAGTTACTTTCTTGTTGCTGGGACAAAATACTTGACACCTATAGATTAAAGGAGGAAAGGTTTATTTTAGTTCATAGTTTGTAGAAGTTTTAGTCCATAGCTGGCTGGCTCCAAGACAGAGCATCATGGCAGAGGAGAAACAGTCCATGGCAGGCAGACAGAAGGCAGAAAACAGTGAGCCCTCCTTTCTCTTTTTATTCCATTTAGGCTACAAGACCAGTGGTAGGTGCCACCTACACTAAGGGAGGGTCTTTCCCATTCTCCGTACCCAGAACCATGTAAAAACAGACAAGGGGCTAATTTAGTTACCAAACTCCTAATCCAATATCACACACCCATGATCCAGCCACCTTTCAAAAGCCCCACCTCACAAGCACACATGAGGCTTTGGTGGTGGTGGTAGGGAATCTAGATATAAGCCATAACAGGAATTGTTTGCGAACAAGAAAGCAGATTATTATGCGCTTTTGTCATTTTTCTAGTATGATGTTATTACTCTTGTTTTGTGTGGGTTTTGAGAATAAGACAGTAAGAACTGTAAACTGGGCCAGGGATTTAGCTCAGTGGTTCTGCTGCTTGCCTCAGAAGCACAAGATCCTGAGCTTTACCTCTGGTACCAAAAAAAAAAAAAAAGAGAACTGTAAGCGACATGAATGAAGGTAAAAAATATTCACTACTAAATCCCAGCACATGAACTGTACTCAATATATTTTCAATAAATGGTTAAATACATGCATAACAAATGAAAAAGTGTAAAACTTAAAGGAAGGCAGACTTTTTACTTACCTTATCTTTCTAATAATTTAATATATTAAAAAAACTAGGGACTCAGGATGTGGTTTATTGGTAAGGTACTTGCCTAATGTGCTGAGGGCCTTGGATTTAACTGCCAGCACTCAACCCATACATACAAATTAAGTAGACTACCTTTGAAAAGCAGTGAAATATTTATCACTTGAGTGAAACAGGAGCTAAAGAACCATTTTTCAGGGATGTGATAGGATTTATTCATTAGATAATGGTAAGACCATATAACCTCTCCAGTTTGATAGCGGAATCCAAAGTTATCTATTCATAGACCTGGGACAAGTAGAAACAATCCTCATAATTTTAGAGAAATCTTTAAGTGGTAAGTTTCTGTGGCATGTCTATTAAATGCCCAACAGACTTTCACAACAGCAATAAATGTTATTTCACAACATCAAGTCTCTCTTACTCAGGAAAAAATGACAATTACAACAAGTTGGATAGATTTGGATTATTTTTTCATGTTATCTGGGGGGCAAAACCTGTGTCTTCACTCATTTTCTTCTTCTTTGTCTTTTTCAAGTTTATCTGATTTCATTTTCTTTACCTCTTCTCTGGCTATGTGTCTCCGGAAGGCTGCTTGGATTTTGACAGCAGCAACTTCCTCTTTATTTTCATCAGAAGAATCCTTAATTGAAAGGAGAAAAAGTAAAAGACTTCTTAAATAACTTGTATATTTGATGCCATAAAAATATATGTATAAATTTAATCAATTTAGAGATATGACTATTTGAAATCTGTTGCTTCCTGGGGAATTTTAATGTATTGTCATATTATATATGTACCAAATGGCAAATGCCAAAGTGTCAGCACTTTGTTTTGACAGTCTTTAACATGTCTCTTTAATAAAAGATTATTGTTAACCTCTTTTTTCTTTTTTGGGTCCAAAATATTTCCTATTTAATAATTGCCAGAGCAATAATGGTTTTTGGAATGGGAAGCCAGCAAGCAAGATTCCTTGAAGCATGATAAAAATGTTAAAGAGATTATAAATGAGCTGTTTTGAAACAATCATGATTACATAAGATGGACTAAAATGATAATGTTTTAATTTCTAAATCATTAGTCAATCAAAATCATACATTTAATAGTGGAATGCCAGAGAGAAATTAATTTATTTCAATAATGTCAGGTTTAACATGGTTGATTGAACTTTAGCATATAGTTTCTTCTTCTTCTTTTTTAAGACACAGGTATAATTTATAGATAGCAAAATGAATAGATCCTAAATATATAATTGATATATAGCTCTTAATATATCTTCTTAAACTACAAAAATGATTACACACATCTAAAAAAAATCAAATATCACCTGCAGTAAAAAGTTTTCTCCACTTTCCCAAATTCTGCTCTGAAGAGGAAACCACTATTACAGGTTGAGTGTGCATATCCACACACACACACACACATACGTGTGTGTATATACATGTGTGTGTATAAATATATCATCCAAAATTTCTACTTCTACAAATATATTCATATGAATGTCTTTTTATTTTAAAAATGAGATGACAGTGTGATGCAACTCTCTTTTCCAATGTAATAGTGTCTGTTTTTCTTTTTCTGTTATTATGTTATATAACTCTGCTTATTCTTTTTTATGACAACATTGCATTCCACTGTACTGACATACTTTGATCTATGCACTCAAACCTTCTATTAATGAACCTTTGGGTTGTTCAACTTTCCCCCATTGCATCCTTCTAAGAATAACCGTATTTAATATGTCTCTGTAAATTTAGCTTTTAAACTTTGAAATGCAAACAAGATGGTATAAAATGGAAAATGCCCTCAATTGAGCAAGCAATTGTTCACAAGTTGGAAGTTGATGAAATTCTCACTCAAATTCATGAAAACCTATGTAAGGGCACCTATGAAACACTCCTATCTTCTTTGATCTCATTGTATCTGATGCCAATGTTAGTCTTACTGGTTGTATTGATATAATTCTGGAATAAATTATAAATACTGTAGGAAAAAGGTGTGCCTGAGTGAGAAGGTGTTCCTTGAGGGTAGGTTCATTCAGGGTGTCAATCATTGGGTAAGAAACTAGGACATCAGGACATAAAAAGGAACTCAGAAGTTTGGCCTCTGACATTATAAAGAGTGAATTCTTTCTTCCTTGGCCTCATCCTCCTGAGTCTGGACTATGAAGAATATAGGCAGTTGTGTGCTAATGTTTTAACATTGGACTCTCCAGCAAAAACAAATGAAAAACAAGTAAGAAAACTGCCACTCAAAGCATTCTCTGTGTTCTGTGGTTCCAATGAAGAAGCCTGGTTGATGAAGACTATATGGGATTAGCATCAGTGACATCAGCCGGGGTCTTGATAGAATTTCTCAGTCTCAACCCCTACCCCAGTGTACAAATAAGAAGTTAAATCTCAACATGGCTCCCAAGTAATTTTTAGGTAACATTAAAATGTGAGAATACTAGCTGTAAATAGTGGCTTGCACCTGTGGTATACCAGCTACTCAGGGAGCCGAGGCAGGAGGATCACTTAAGACTAGGAGGTGGTCAGGGCTTGCCTGGAAACATCATGAGACCCTGTCTTGAAAAACAGTAGGTAGTAATAATAAAATGATAAAATTTGAGAGCATTATTCTATACAACTGAGATAACACCATTAGCCATAAGACACTAGCTTTTAGTTAGAATTGAAAGGAATTAACAAAGTTCAAAGATCAAGTTTTTGTTTTTGTTTTGTTTTTTTTTTTTTTTTTGCAGTACCAGGAATCAAACTCAGGAACTTGTGCTTGCCAGGAAGGCACAGTAACACTGAGCTGCATGCCCGGCCCCGAAAGTTCAAGTTTTAATGTTCTTCAGTAGACTTGAGGAATGTCCTAGACAGTTAGTTCTCATTCTTTGAGTTCAGAAGTGAGGCTCCATCTGTCTGTACCTGCATATATGGGTGTGTTCTATTTATTTCTATTTTAGATTCTCTGTGCTCATGTTTTATTTCTATTCATATTTTGTTGAGATCAAAGGGATAATATTGAAAATGTTATGTCCTTGTGTTAAACAGCAATTTCAAGGTGTTTTTCTTTTATTTTGAATTCTAAAGGCTTTAGATGATTCACTTACATGTCCTTAAATTTGTTTTATGGGTTAGAGAATCCCTTTCTATAGGTGGTGAATTAGCAGTGCCTCTACTTTGGAGGAAGACTTCAATAACTGTATCAAAATTGGGGAGCTGGGGATTTGGCTCAGTGGTTCCACCACCTGCCTCGCAAGCGCAAGGGCCTGAGGTGAGCCCCAGTACCAAAAAGAAAAAAAACTGGCAGAGCTGTTTCTTTTTACATATAAATCGTTCTCCATAGCAAAACTTATTTCCTTAGTTTTTAACCCACAAACTTCATTAAAAAATCAACTTCACACTATGGAACATGATGGCATTTATTACTATTTTAGAAATTACTGGTACCTTTTTTATAATAACATTTTGTAGATAGAAGAAATAGCTAAATTCAATAAATTCACAGGACTATACCTTGAATGCATGGTTGTTATAGAAGCGGTCATCTATCTTAGCCCCCCATTCTGCTGGATCAAAGTTGGTTTCTAAATAATAAAAATATAATAACTTCAGACTTATTTTGAGCTCATTGAAATAAATACAAAGCTGTAACACAAAAGGAGTTTCTTGTTTCAAATCACAGGTTCTCTATTGACAAGTAAAAATTGACTTATATGTCCATCAACAGATGAATGGATAAAGAAAATGTGTTATTTATACATGATGGAGTACTACTCTGCCATTAAGAAGAATGTGAGTCATTTGTAGGAAAATGGATGCATCTTCAGACCATAATGTTACGTGGAATCAGACACACAAGTTGACATATCATATGGTTTCTCTTATATGAGAAACCCTAACCATAAATAATGATGGAACCAAAGTTCTTAATTACATTGTACATAGCTAAGTACTTCAGACAATAATCACTGATCATTAATATATGACAAACAATTAGTCACTGGTGATCCATGTAGATACTTACAAAAGTACTAGAAAACATAATTTCTTCTTTAATAGAATTAATAACAAAACAGGAGAGAAAACATAAATATGTACCAGTAAATTAAGAAAAGTGTATAAAAACAAATGCTTTTTCCCATAATGGAAAATTTCTAACTTAGAGAGTAGAGAGATAGTATCAAACCACTATATTTATACTACCTAGATTCAACAGTTGTCAACTCATGATTCATTTTATTTTATATTTATCCTTTTATTCTGGTTATTTTCCAGCCTTTTGTCTGATTATTTACATGCCAATCCCAAGCATTCTACTATTTTATCTACAAATATTTATTTCAGCATATATTGCTAAGATATACTCTTAAAATATTTACATCATTATCACACCTAAATATAATTCTTTTATTTTTACATTTATTGGTACAATTTAGATTTACATAATGATCACCACATTCATCATAATTTGTACCTTTAATGATGTACCTTGATTCCTTTTACTAATAATTCTTTAATATTACCAACTATCCAAATCTCTCTAATGTCTGATATATGTAGTTTTACTTATTAATATTTTGATTCAAATTAGACCTACCAAAATAGGCACGGTCTTTTGTTATGTGTTTTAAATTGCTTTTAATGGAAAGCCCCATCCCCTCACTTTTTCTTGATAAAGCTGAGTCCTGTTTTACTTTGAAATTTTCCACAGTTTAGATATTTCTATCTCCATGGTGGCTTTTAAGAAAATCATTTGCCTTTGAATTTCCTATAGATTGGCAGTTAGGCCTATAGGTTTGATGATTCAGTTCTGATTTTTTTTTTTTTTTTTTGCTAAGAATATTTGATTAATAGTGCTTTGTAGTCCTGTCAGGATGTTAATAATATGTGGTTTTCTTTCTTATAATTTTATAATTATCATCAGATAATTTGTTTAGGGGTGGGTTGCATAATGCTAATATTTTAACAATCATTATTTGTTTATTTTTGGAGGAGTGAATAAAGAAAATAGTCGGTCCCATCAACTATATGGTTAACCTGAAATACCATTGTTACAGCAAAAAAAGCTTAAAGGTTTGGTTTTTTTTCTTTCATTTATCAATTTTCAGGTTAATTTGTTGGTTACCTGGAATCCTCTCAAGGTGATCAATGAATGATGAATTTTATTTGTTTGTAGCATTATGAATTTATGAATATTTAACAAACTGTATAAATTCTAATGCATTGTATTTATTATTCTTATTGATGCTCTGTTTAAAATCTGACCAGTGGCAGCTTACTCCTTAGTCCTTTGCAAACAACCCTAGTAATCTTTGAGAATACTCTTGTTTTTTGGTGTAATGAGATGGTCAGCCTCATTGTATAATCATATATATATATATATGTATATATATATATATGGCATTAGCTAGTACTATAAGAAGGCCTGGTTCTTGGAAAAAGGTGTTCAGACATGACAATTTAGTGTTGAGATGTCCACTGGTATGGGGTTGGTCATTGTTTTCAGGCCGTTTTAAGGTATGGAACTATAAACTACTTCTTTTAGTTTGTTTTTAATCAGCTATTCATTTTTATTATTTTTATTTGAGTAACAGTAGGGGATAATCAAGGTTTTACAACAGGAATCTTTTCAATGATGAAGCTTTAATGGGAGAATAAATAATATGCATGAATCAAGAAAATGGCTCGAGTGTTAATATTATGCTTACTTCTTTTACTTTTTAAGAGAAAACATCATGAGGTCATATGGATATTTTTCAATTCAAATTTAGGATTACAGAATTGTCTTAAACCTCTTTTTCCTGCACCAAAAATCTTCTTAATAACACTAGCATAGTTAACTCACTTTATTCTACAATAGTATAAAAGAATAATTTCTAGGATAACTTTATGTGTTTATCAGCTCTGTGAAAAATACATGATAAATCAACTTTAAAAAGATTATTTTGACTTACAGATTTAGAGGTTTCAGTCCATGCCCAACTGGCCCTATTGTTTGGGACTGTGGCTACATAGTAAAACGTGGTAGAAGTGTATGGTGGGGAGGTCTGTTTACCTCATGGCTGAGAGCAAGTCAGAGAGGAAGAGATAGGCATCCTGCAGTCCCTTTCAAGGGCACACCTCCAGTGACCTAAAATCGCTCATAGGCTTCAACTCCTAAAGGCTCTATCTCATTCCAATAGCACTACAATTTTGGGACCAAACCTCTAACATCTGGGGCCTTGTGGGACATTCCGGATCCAACCTACAGCTCTCTAGAATAGTATCAGAGTGGTGCCTCAGTTCACGAAAATTTGTTTTATGATTTTATGGCCGTGGTCATGTCCATCACCTGATGCAGAATTTGCAAACAAAAACAAAATTCTGCCAAATGCTTCTGTTTGTGAACCAAATTGTTTTAAAACCAAAGTGTTTGTGAACCAAGGTACCACTTTTTAAAGAATGATATTACTGAAAACAGTTTGTTTTTTTAAAGCTCATTTTACTTTTAGGATATATTCATCATGGATGTACAATCAAATTATTTCATACAGTCACTTGAAATAATTCCTGTGTTTTTATGCTACCTACTCAATATTAATTTATTTCATTTTGCTTTTTAATCATAGGAACTGGTTAACAATTTTTAAATTTAATTTTATACCTATGCTAAATATCAATGAATCCAAATTCAAGATATATTCTATTCTGTTCCCTCTACCCTGTTTCCTTTTCTCAAAAGAAAAACATTAACTTTAAAAGATTTATTCTTATATCTAAAGCTATAAGCCATATTTTTTCATATCAACTTCTTTTGTTAAATAAATGGTAGCATACTAAACTCCCTTCCTTCTTTTTCACTGGGTCCTGAAGATCATTGCCTAGCAGTATCTAGAGATCTGCATTCTTTTTTAGAGCTGTATATTATTTCATTGTGTGAATGTAGTCTTAGTTTATTAAATCAGTTTCTTATGGGAGTTGTGGCTGTAGCTCAGTGTTACAGTGCTTGACTAGCATGTAAGAGGCTCTGGGTTCTATCCTTAGCACTGCAAAAACAAAAACAAAAATTCCTATTATAGATATTTGGGTTGTTTCAACAAAATAATGAGATAAGGAAAAGTGTGGAGATCTAACTTCTGTGGTGATTATATTTGGTGGATACTTATGAGTGCTTCTTGAAGTTGTACCATTTGGTGTCTCCTCCTCTAATGTATATGGTACTTATTTCCCCAGCCTTGCCTACAGAGTACGTTGGGAAATTTTTGGCTTTTTGCCAATAAGGTGGTGGGTGGTTGTTGGTTGCTCAGTGTAGCTTTGATTTGGGCTTCTGTTATTATGTCTTAGAGTAGATTTTCATATGTTAGGGCCATTTGTATTTATTTTTGTCTGAACTACTTGTTCATATATCTTGTCCATTTTTTCTGTAGGGTTGTTATAAGTATATGTAACACACTGCTTTTACAAGCTCTTTATTAACCCATAAGGAGAGAAATTGCAAATATTTTTTCTCAGCTTGTCATTTGTGTTTTCATTTTCCTTATGATGCTTTTTGTCATGTAAAAGTTTACTTTTATGTTGTCAATTTTTTCAATCTGTTCCCTAATTGCATCTGGAGTTTTGAAGTAATTCAAGTAACTTATCTAGCAAATTTTTTCTTGTCTTATGTTATAGTGAAATTCATCCAGATTTTCTTCTAGCAGTTGTATGGTTTCTTTTTAAAATATTTAAATCTCCAACCAATTTTGAATGTATTCTAATATATGATAAAGAAATTGATCCAAATTTTTAACTATTTTATCTCAATATAAGAAGTCCACTTTCCTTTAGTGACTTGATATCACTTGTATCATATTGTACATTGTTCCTGTCACAAAAATAAAACATAAGAAGGATGATAGCAATGCAATTCATGTATTGTGGGAGACTGGGATAGAAATCTATGATTTTTTTTTCTTTGTCTTTCTGGAGAGATTAAATTCTGACTGTTGGATAATTCACCTTTGGATAATATGGGTGGAAGTGGGTGTAGTGATTAAAATTTTTTCAAGTGGTTTTATCCATTGTTTATTAGAGAGCTAGCATTCCGAGGCTATTAATTTTAATCATCAATTGCTTTTATTGCCGTGATCCAGTAACAATGACTCAAATGTTTGTGTAATGGGATGTTACTGAGTTCTAAAATTAAACAAATGACTAAAGACTTTTTACTGCATGGATTTGTAAAATTAATGTTATAATAACAAAATCAAGGTAATGTTGATGACAACTCACCTCTTTTTCCAAGAGATTTGTCTTAATAACCTCTTCCTCCCAAATACTGTTTATCAAATGATTTTAGTGGAACTTAAAATTTCATATCATGCAACAAATATCCACCCTGAATGGATTTAAAAACGACCAGTAACAGTCAGGAAACTGGCAGAGGTTTTGAGCTTTGCAAGGGCAGAACAAAGGGGTGGAGCTGGGCAGGGTGTATGGGTGTTGTTTTAATTCTGGCTTTGTGTTAGTTTTCCTCTTTCTGTGAAATGGTTTATAACGGAAAGTCTGCCTGTGGCTATTTCTGGTTACCTTTACCACTATGTTGGAATACCATAATGAAAAGAAATGTTAACAATAGCTTATATAAAAATGGTTGTGCTAGTCAAGAATAGGATTTTATTTTGTTTGTTTTTGGTACTGGGGATTGTTAGGGAATTTATCATGTTAAAGTATGCTGTGACACCGCTATCACAGGCTGCATTCTCCTGGTACTTCTTGGCTCTTCAAATTACCTCATGCCCTTATCTTTAGTTTCCCTCTCCACAAGGCCACAGTGGTCCAGAGAAGTTGAAACCTGTTTCTGCAGGACTGGACCCATAAAAGGCAACCTGGCCTGTGATAGGTTAAAAGTAGTTCACTCCTCATAAATAATCAATAGCCCAGCCCAAAACTAATAAAAGGACCTTCCTTTCTTTGTTCTTCTCTTCTTCTTCCCCTTCTCCCTCTCTGCTCCCACTCCCTGAATAAAGTCTCCAGTTGGACCTCTCGGTGTGAGAATGGCCTAGTTGTTGAGTGTCACTGTCCCCTTTCAGGGATTGAACTCTGGACCTTGTGCTTACAAGGCAGGCTGTGGAACCACTGAGCTAAATCCCAAGAATAGGACTTTAGAACAAACTTGAAACTAATAATTCCATTTTGACCACTGGGTCAGTACTGATAGTCACAAACTTTCAAGACCTGGGATTTGAAAATTTTTAGTTATGGAAGTGAAGGAACTTTGCTTTGGTTTTCAACCAAAGAGTTACTATTAGTATGGATCTTAGTCTCTGTGCGAATGGGACTTTGAGAATATAAAGACTATAAATTACCTTCTCAAGCTGGCAGTTCACTTTTCAAAGTAGTTTGTCACTGTGCCATTATTGAAGAACAGTTTCATATACCCAAGTGAATACCAATTTATTTAATCTAAGGAGTGTTGAATTATATTTATAACACTTATAATACTTTCAAATGAGAAGAATCAAAATTGAAAGAGAACTGCAAATTATCTTCACAGAAAGAATAGACAGTCAACTACTGGAGATGCATAAGAACAATCTGCTGAAAAGTGGAGGGTATACTGTATGTTTTTTTTCAGTTCCGTTCCATATTGTATTGTAAGAAATACAATGAAAGGGCTGAGGATTTAGCTCAGTGGTTCTGCTTCCTGCCTTGCAAGCACAAGGACCTGAGTTCGATCCCTGGTACCAAAACAATGACAAAAAGAAATACAATCAAAGAGGTCAGGAAAATAGTAATACTGAATACTGTGAAACTAATTTAATAGAAGCTGTCAGAGAGGCACATATTATTTCAAATAGCATGAACTGTTATTTGGAGCTACCTGTTTCACAGAGGCTTTCTGAAGAATGGATATGGTCTTAAGATTTGCTATAACCAAATACTTAGTGTCTTATTTTACAAAAATCTTACTGTCTCTTTTCTCAAGAAGGTCCTTAAAATATGCTGCTGCAAAAGCTGGTATATTGTCCGGTTGCTCTCTCAGAATCTCACACGTGAGCCCTTCAAGAAGATTCCCAAACCCTTGTGGAATTCGGAGGTAGGTGTTGGAGAATGGAATCGACATGTCCTTGGGAAGAATTGCCTATGGTACCTAGAGATTCATTAAAGAGCACCAAGTTTATCTGATTTTAATTGTATAATCACAATTATGACAACAAATTATTTCTGAGGCCCAAATTTTCTGGACTTCAATTTCCTTTTTTCCCCCTAAAGGAACCCAAGTCTATTTGTTTCTTTTAGAGCATTTTGAATTCTTCATTATGCATTAGAATATCACAAATACAGATCCATTCAACTAGCTAAATAATTATCTAAAATTTATACAGAGTGTTCATTATAACACTCCTGCTCTGAAGAGCTGAGGGCATTTTTTGCTAACCATAATCATCTAGTGTGAATGAGTTAAAAAGCTATTTTAACTAAATTCATTATCAATTGCTCAGAAGACCCTGTTTAGGTCTAAAATACGATATTTAAAAGTAGGAACTAGTTCTGGTTCTACAAATTCTTCTATCTTGTTGAATAAGTTTCACAATCTTCTCAGCTGCAACTTCTGAGCATGACCTATGTGTTTTGAAGCACTTTTGTACTCTGGAATGGGGTTGAGGAGGGGAAGGAGAAGGTTATGATTTTGAAATCCCAGCTTCCAAACTTGTAGAACTCTTCACTTTTCTGGTATAGTCTTGACCAGGCCTTCTCCTCCCGTCTTGGGATACAAGAGCTAGATTAAGGGTGGATGTCAAGCAGTGGGTTGGGCTACTGAGTATGAAAAGAATACTGGGGCCTGTTGTGTTTGTATGAAGTGTGTGTGTTGAGGCCCAACACAGGCAAAGCGATGGCTGGAGAGCGAGCTGGAACACGAGAGTGTTTAAAGAGGCTCAATCTGTGGAGGTTCTCTCCCTTACTCCCTCTCTCTTTCTTTCTTTTTAGGTAATGAATTATTTTAGGGTGAAACTGGCGAGGTTCCGTATCTAGCTAGCTGAGGTGTGAGGGTGGGTAGAGGGCGGGGGAAGACAGGTCAAGAATTTCAGACTCTCGACGAATGGGCTGCCTTGGCTCTCAGTCTGCTTCAGGGGTCCCAGGTGTGTTGGGGAAGCTAAGAGAATACGAGAACCAAAGGGAAAAGGCGAGGTCTCGGTGTTCGAGAGGAAATGGGGGAAACGACCTTACCTCTTCTTTCTCTCCCAGCTGGTACCGAGGGTTAGAATTGCTTTTTTTCGTTGCTGGGTAACCGTTTCTTTAAAAACTACGGCGGCCGAGAAGGAGAGAAAGGAACTTTGCTCTGTGGCCGCGGTAGGTTTTGCGGACTGCTGCCGGGGAGGGCGGGGTCCTCGTGTCCCTGGCCCCGCCCACCCACACAGGCCCCGCCCCAAAGGCCGTCAAACCCCGCCCTTCGTGGCTCTGCGGACACCGCTTGGCGGAAGAATGGTCGCCCCTGCATCTGTGTTTGGGCTGGTGCTGCCTTTAATCCTGTGGGCTGACAGAAGTGAAGGTGAGGCAGATTATCCCTGCCGTACCCCGGCCCCTCAGCCAGTGCAGAATCAGAAGTCCCGCGTCCTCTTCGTGATGGCCTCGCTTCCTCTCTCAAGGTCGGGGAGCGAGCTTCTCGGCCTGGCGCGCGTGTCTGCGGGCCCGAGTCCAGCGCCCCCGCTTTCCCTACCTCCTCCGGTCCTTAACCCTCCGCCTAGAGGGCCAGAGGGAGAGCTTCGCTGATCTGAGTGGGAAGGTGCAGACTTGCCCGCCCGAGGGCTTCAGGGGAGCTCGGAGGGAAGGGGGCGAACCTAGTTAGTTAATATTTGAAAACAGGTGACTGAATCATCCAAAACATTTCAGCTGCTGCCCCCTCAGTGTTGCCCTCGGGGAGGGCTTGCATCAGGCTAAATTCCTTTTGGGAATTACATTTTACTAGTTTAAGTGGTTATTAGGGCTAAGAAATACAACCCCCTCACTAGCTCAGAATAATTCAAGGCTCATCTTTGATTTCTGGTGCTCCCTAGAGATGATGGTGGTGGGGTAATAACACATACGCAGCAGCGTTGTCCAGGGGCCGGAGGAGGCTTACTCACAGTGGTTATGGTGCAGGTCAGATCCTGAGCTGGACACTGGGAGCGTGGAGAGGCTGGAAGAAGGAATCTGTCTGCTAATGCAGAGTAAAGTGAACTTGCTTGAACTCCCTGCACCCTTTTCTTCAAACCGCTCAGAGAGGAACCCCAAGATCCCTGTTAAGCTAAAGTTGAGGAAGAATGGCATGACTGCTGTCCTTCTGAAGCAAAATACCAGATTCAAACAAACAGCAGCCCATAAATGTGTCTTTGAAGAATTTGACAAAAGTGCAAACCAGTAGCGCTGTGCTTCCTTTCACTCTCAAGGACTTCTGGGTCCATTGTAGGAGGTGAGGGGAGGTTAAAGAATAGGGCCACTGTTTTATTAGATTTTCTGTTAATGGTTTTTAACTTTAATGTCAGTGTTTTTTTTTGTTGTTGTTGTTTTTGTACCCGGGATCGAACTCCGGTCCTTGTGCTTACAAGGCAGGTGGTGGAACCACTGAGCAAAATTCCCGGCTAATATCAGTATTTTGTCTCCTTCTTTGGGTCATTTCACTCATTCACCTTCATTAATTCTGACTATATTTTTCATTTATTTTTCCATGCTCTAAATTTCCCTTCCTTCTTACTTGGTTGCATATCCTGACATCTTTAAGTCACACTCCCCCCTTTGCCCATGTTTATTGTGAAATTGAGTTGTGCAAAGCTACATGTAACAATGAGACAATGAAATGACCTGTCAAGTCACCACCCATTTTGAGAAATGTGACACTGAACTTGTTGAGACAGCCGTGGATTCCTCAGTGTACCTGCCAGGCCCCAGCAGAGGTGACCACTATTCCAATTTTGTTGGTTCACTTGTAATGATGGTTTGTGTCCCACTGTACCCACTGTATTTCTGTTCTTACCCCAAATAAAGGCAGAAATTGAAAACCTAAAAAAAAGGTTCAAATATTAATTGTGCCTTGTGTGTGGCGCAACAGTCTTTCACTCTCATCTTTTTTTTTTTTTTTTTTTTTTTTGGTCCGTGGCTCAGTTCTTGTTAATGTTCCACTGTCTAATCAGGTTGGAATTTGAGCTTTGTTAAGGACAGGGAAGATGATTTTTCATTAACTTAGCATCATTATCCAACCACAGCGTAGTGGAAATTAGAACAATTTTAGAATCAGGTGACTGGTTTTAGCCCTTGTGATTTGAGGCCAGTTGAAGTCTAGTGTCCTAGTCTACGGCCATACCATCCTGGGATCTCATCTGAAGTCTAGTGTCATTAGCATTGTGCCTGCCATAGTAAACCTCTCTAGAAGAATGTAAGCTCCCTGCTGCCAACAATTTTTTAACTATTGTTATTTTTTTCCTATCACTGTTATTTCTCCAATGCTTAAAATAGAGCCTACCATATAGTACACATCAATAAATATTTGCTGTAATTAATGAACTTGCAAGCTTGGGTCTTAGTCTGTTTATCAGGAATATGATCATACTTCTTGATCAGTAATTAATGTGATCACACCATGATTATAAAGATCTTTTTCTGTTTTTGGTACTGGGGACTGAACTTGGGTCCTTGTGCTTGCAAGGCAGGCCACCGAACCGCTGAGCTAAATCCCCGGCCCTATAAAGATCTTTTCTACCTCTAAAATTCTTTAGGCCAGCATAAAGCCATGCACAGAGGCTCAGTAAGCATGTATTGGTGAACACAGACGGGCTTGAAAAGGTATTTCCCAGCCTGTGGGCTTCTGACTGCATCCACAAATAGGCAAGCAGCAGCCAGTTTTCTTCTCCCCATCCCTCCACTTTCAGCCTCTCTCTACTGAGTTCTTATTTATGCCTTATTTTGTTCCATATGAAGCACCTACCCAAGACAGGGCTCTCCCACACATGTGCCTCATGTTTCCCCCAGCAGGCTGCCAATCTGCTTATGCAATTCTGGCTGTTGTGGTCTCTTCCTAGAGTATTTTGCTTGTGGTAGTTGTGTATTTCCAGCCTGGTGGGCCTTCTGGGTAATCTTTAATTAACATGTAGATTTCATGATCCAGCCAGCTCAAGGGAGGGGGGTGTAAGAAGGGAGGGAGGGAGATAGAGAGAGAGAGAGAGAGAGAGAGAGAGGGAGGGAGAGAAGGAGGGAGAGAGGAAGAGTTTTTAGGGTTGTTATTCACAGAGCAGTCTAAATAGGCCACCAAGCTTGTGGAGGAGACCCCATTAGCTGTACTGCCTTGTTAAATATAGCCTAAGGGGCCTGTCCTCATTTGTAGCTTCCGGGGAAGAAAATGTCAGCCTTGTTAATTCTAATTCTCTTTCCGACCCATCATTTTTGCTTAAAACTCTTAAAAAAAAAAAAAACTTAGTCTTGTAAATTATTTTCTTTTAGGGATTTTGGGGGGTCTGTTTTGTTCAGACAAATCTGGACATAAGTTTTATTATTTTTTCTTGTTAAGTGTTGATGAGCTCACTGACTTGGATGGATGCTTGTTATTAAATACTTCAATATAGGCTGGAAGTTAAAAATAGGAATGATCTCGTTAAAGAGTTCTTATTCAGTCTTGTTAGTGATTCTCTAGAATAGAATGCACAGTTTCAAAAAAAATTAAAAGAATGTACAGTTTTAAGTGTGCTTCCTTTTTTCTTTTTGTGTAGTTTAGCTTGTGAAACAAATTTAATTTTCTAAAAGATCTTTATTTAGACTTTTAACCTGTTGTTCATTGGCCTTATTTTTATGTCTTGCTTTATCTGAATTTACCTGTGAAGGAAGGAGACTTGTCAAGGATATTCATAAATGCAGTACATTGGGTCATCAAAAAAACAAAACAAAAAAAACAAGGGGAATTATTTGATGGACGGGAAGGAGATAAGAGAGGGAAAATACTAGAGTAGCTTTGTTGGAGAGAGGCATATCTCTTTATTTCCAGCTACTAGGAGTGGGCGTGGTAATGGAAAATCTGGGAGGGAAGTGGTTTATTTTTCACATAAACACCATCTGTGGGATACATGAAAGGTGCATTTTAGTTATTTTGTGAGGGAGAAAGTCAAGTACTGGGGCCAAGTTTTCGAATAAGGGAAGATCAAGAGCTCTGAAATGGAGGGAAGAAGGCCATGGTGGTACATTGGTTGCCCCTGGTTGTTGGAATTTTCCTTAGTGGTCATCTTGTCCTATGAGGCATACTGTTGGAATCTTTTCTTGTTATATTGCTTATGTAATTAGGAGAGATAAGGTCTAGTTCGAGGATAGAAGGATTGGGTAAACTCAAATTCTTTTGTATAAAGAGTATGTTTTTTGCTATTTCACCGGATCCGTTGGTGACAAATCTCCCTAATGTTGCTTCCCTAAGTGTTTGTTAAATTTTTTAGGTATTGGTTTTCACTTTGCTTCATACATTGATAATTATATGGTGCTGCAGAAGGAACCTGCTGGAGCAGTGATCTGGGGCTTTGGTATACCTGGAGCCACAGTGACAGTGACCTTGTGCCAAGGTCAGGAAGCCATCATGAAGAAAGTGACCAGTGTGAAAGGTAAGGCTGGCCAGTCTCTGTTCAGCTATTGTCTTCTTCTGCCACCTGCTGGATTAATTGAAAATGAATGCTTGTGTTCCAGCTCAGGCCATCCATCTCTCTCCCATCCATCCATCTACTCACCTATCCATCTGCAAAAGTTATTTCAGTATTTACTGTGTGGTAGGCACCAAAGATAGAAAAATAAAGCTCAGTCAAAGCCCCTGTGGTAAAGAAGCTCATGGAATAGTATGAATCGACACCAAGTCACATAGCAGTGTGATGAATGCGTATTTGGGATGTTATGGGATGCAGAAGAAAAACATCTAACTCCGATTGGGTGGTATGGGAAGGTTCCTGCAGAAAGTGACATTTGAGCTGAATCATACATAAAAGAGAGGCAGCATAGAGGTATAGCTAAGAACCTTAACTCCAGAATTCACTGGAGTCAGCTCCTGACTCTCATTTAATGTCTGCATAACCTTGGATATGTTACTAAGCATATGAAGATAGTTATATGGAATTGTGAAGATTAAATGAATTAACATATGTAAGATATTTAGAACAGTGCCTAGCACACAGTAAATGTTGAATAAGTTTTAACAGTCAGTACTGCTACTACTACTGTTATTTAGCCAGTCACTCAAGTATTTATTGAGTGTGTACTCTGTGCTAGCTTTAATCCCCAGTACTACAAATAACAAGATCAGATTGTTTTTTTATTTTACTTTTGTGTCTATGTTATCAAGGGTTGAATCTGGTGCCTTTGCCCTGAGCTATATTTCAAGCCCTTTTTATTTTTTGAAACAGAGTCTCACTAAGTTGCTAAATTGCCCAGGCTGGGCTCCAACTTGCAGTCTTCTTGCCTCGTCCCCCCAGAGTGCTAGGATTATAAGTGTCAGGTTGTTATTTTAGAAAGATCACATTGGCAGCACTGTGGAAGATGGATTAGAGATCAGTAAAATGGGGCTGTGGAACCTGTTAGCAGACTATTATGAATCGAGGTGGTCCACCATGAGAGGTTAACCCAAGAGTGTGGCTGCAAAGATGAATGTTCAAGAAGGTGAGAATTAGCAGCCTTCTTTGAGTGGGGAGATCTAATAAAGGCATCTCTGTCTAGAAGAGATAAAGATGTGTAACATAATATGTGCAGGAGGGAAAGCAAGAAGTCTCTGGATTCAGGAAGGTGTGCTTGTAGTTGATCTTAGAGGTAGCTCTAAAGCTGTAGGATGTACAAGTGAGAGTGAGACAGGTGGGGAGACTGCTCTGGGAGTGGTGGAGTTACTTATGAAGTTGGTGGCTTGAGCAGTGACTAGAATATTTGTATATAGAGACAGGGAAGCTGCTGGAAATTTTACTGGCCCTTGAGAAGAAGAATTTCCTTGTTAGTTTTGTCAGCATACAGATCTGATTGTCCAGAGGCATCCAGATCCTGGTGCTGTATCTTTATAATTCAGCAAATTCCACTCAGCAAGCATTTGAAATACTATATGCCAGGCATAGTTGCAAGGTAAGTGTTTCTAGCTCTTGGGTTTTTGAGACTTTTTAAGGTAAGAATGTTGTTGGTTGAAACTAAGAGACCTGAAAGGGAAACTATAGTTCAGATATAGTTGTCTGTTGGTTTAAATGCTATTGGTGACATGCAGGATGTACTGAAACTGAAGAATTCTCAGTCTAGCAGTGCTTTCTGTTTGTGCTGTGTTCCTCTTAGTAATGAGCAGCACTGTGTATAAATAGTGGCTCTCTGAGTAAATGAGGTTGGTTTAGAAATCCAAAGAACTGCTGTGGTTCAAAAATAAGAAAGGGGCTTCATGCCAATAAAGTTACCAGTAAATATTCAGGAGGCAGAGACATAGTGTTGTACTGATACATAGAGAAAGTACATGATATTATGTAGCATTCCAGTTTTTAAATTGTTCTTGTGTATTACTTTCAGTAGTTACCCTACATCCTTGTTTCAGGACCAGTACTTGAGGTGGGCAGGGACAAAGCAGGAGGGTAGGTTGTGATGGAAAAGAATGACGGGTAATCATTAAAAGATGAGCTTCCTTTACAGTGAGAGTGAACCTGCTCATTTATCTTAATTTTATAAACATCTACTGAGGGTTTACTGTGTACAAAATACTAAGCTAGAAACCTTAGGAAGGTACAGAGATGAATACAAATGGTGCTCACCCTGCCCAAGCTCATTCTTTCGTGTTGTTTTTTCCACTTAGTGGTTTAGGTTCTAGTAATGCTCTAGTTGCTCTACTGAAAAGCAACATGTCGGTTGGAGTTAAAACCAGCAAAACTTAAGGGAATGAAGTGATTCACAGACTGTTTATAATTTCACAGGAAAAGAGGTTGGTGCCATTGTTGGTGGTGTTGGTAGATCTATCCATCTGACTTTCCACATCTATTTACTATAGAACAAAGGTTTTCTAGTTTGTAGGAGGTCAGCAGATCTACTCCAGTGAGTTTTGTTTTCTTCTGTCCATGATGCAAAATGGAGAAAGTATTCTTTGGCTTAAAGAAGGTAGACATGTAAGAAAATTCATAGAGCAGTCAAAAATATGTCTGTCGGATCTTGATTATTATATGTCTAGGTGTAGATTTTTTTTTTGATTGTAGCTAGTTGGGGTCCTATATGCCTCAGTTATCTGAATGTCAAATTCTTCCCCGCTGTTTGGGAAGTTTTCTGTCATTAATTCTGCAAACAGCTTTTTAAAGTCATTTGTATTTTCTCCTGCTACTTCATGTATTCCTATCAGTCTTATGTTATTCTTCTATAATAATCAAGATCCCAGAAACCCAACAGAAGAACAAAATACTACAAGCAGTAAGAGAAAAGAAACAAATCATATACAAAGGAAAGCCCATCAGAATCACAGCAGATGTTTCAACACAGACCCTTGGGGCAAGGAGAGCCTGGAATGAGATATTTCAAGTACTAAAAGAGAACAACCTCCAACCTAGACTGATGTATCCAGCAAAACTCTCTTTCAAGATGGATGGGGAAATAAGACACTTCCACAACAAAGAACACCTGAGAAACTACATGAATACCAAAGCAGCACTACAAGGAATTCTAAACAAGATCCTAGAAAAAGACAATGAAGGCAACAACACCATGAGGCCCAACAGAGCAAATTGAATAGGCAAGGCAAGAAATTAAAGGGAGAAGGTGAAAAAGTAAAAAGAGTCAACAAAAGGCCAATAACATGTCAATAATAAGTCAGTACATATCAGTTATAATTAGCATTGTCAATGGCCTCAACTCACCAATCAAGAGAAATAGACTGGCAAAATGGAATAAGAAACAAAATCCAATAATAAGTTGTATACAAGAAACACACCTAGTGCAAAAAGAAGCCCATAGAATGAAAGTGAAAAGATAGAAAACAATTCTCCATGTGACAGGAGCCCAGAACAAAACAGGGGTAGCACTCTTATTTGCAGACAAAGTAAATTTCAAACCAAAACTGA